CAGCCCCGCCAGGCTGCCTCCTGCGCCCAAAGCAGGCCGAGCTCCTTCCCCACTAGGGCCCTGGCGGTGGGTGCCCTAGCCCTGGCACCCTCAGCAAAAGGCCCCCTCCTTGGAGAGGCCTTTCCTGGCCACCACTCCCTGCGTCCATACTCTCAGAACATGACCACGATCTGAGATGACTCATGGGTCCACCTAAGTGTCTGCCTTTCCCACTGAAATGTCAGCTTCTCGCGGAACAGAGACTTTGCTTTGGTCCCCGCTGTTCCTGCAGTGCTCAGAGAGCGTCAGTCATGCGCGCGGTAAATATTTACTACTCCGTGACCAGCGGCTGCGTAAATATTTACTGTCCTGCCGCGCTGTGCCAGGCGCGCCCCCAGCACAGAGCAGACCTGGCCCTGCCTGCAAGACACGTAGATGCCAGCCCCCCAGGCGCCCCATCTTTTGTCATATGTGCTATTTCTTTCACACCCCTAAATAGTCCCAATTCAGAGTCTGCGTCGCCACACACGACTTTGAGCTGTAAAACGCAGCCCTGCGCGGCGCCCCAGAGACAGTCGTCCAGACCAAACGTCCCGTTTCCGCGGCCTTTATGTGTTTTCACGCTCGGCGGCTTTACGTGAGCTTTCTCTTCTCCCCTCTCCCTGTTTCCTCTCTGTTAGATCCTTTTTATCCCCCGATTGTGATTCTGGGGGCTCTGAGTTCTAGTCCTGGCTCTGCGCCCAGCTGTGAGCTTGAGCTTGAACTGTGATAGTCACTTCCCCTTTCTGGGTCCCGGTTTCTCCATTCGGAAACCGGATAGGCTCTACAGGGCCATCTAGGGCTGACTTTCTATGAGTCTGTGACCTTTTATTCCTTACTAGTTTTTCCCTCGCTTCCTGCCACGCTTTAAAAAAATTGGGTTCTAGAACCTTCTGGGGTCCTGTTCTGGTTTTTAACAGGTGCTGAGCAGGCAGGGCGTGGACTCACTGTGTGCCTGCATCACCTCCGAGACGTTGAGCCCCTCGCGCATCCTCACGACACACACGCCGTAGTTGAAGTCAAAGGCGTCACTGCAAAGAGAGGAGGTGGGTCCGGCTTCTCCCCAGCTCCCTCCGGGAGGTGACCCAGCTCCCAGGAGACCCGCTGTCTAGAGTCAGCCCTGCCCCCTACCATATCGTGTCTCCTCTCTAGGCCTCAGTTTCCCCATCTGTATAACGTGCAGGCAAAACTGAAGACCCCCCAGGACTCCTCCAGCTCTACGGTCTGTGGCGCCGTGAAGCCTGCGGACCCAGCACTCGGGGGAAACCAAGTCAGGCCCTGTTCTCCCGATACGTTTGGCTAATCCTCACGACTCTGCCCGCAGAGGTGGGGACAGTAATTATTGTCTCCATTTTAAAGATGCAAAAACTGAGTTTTGGGGAGTACCTTGCCTGTGACCACACAACCAAGGAAGTGACCGGCTGGGATTAGAGTGACGTAGCTGAGACCGTAAACCAAAGGACAGACGTGCACACGGCCATGGCCTCTCTCAAGCAGCAGGTCCTCTCTATGGCATGTCTAGAAGATTCCTGCCCCAAAAGTGTATTTCCTCCCTGACTGGCACAGAGCCCAAGAGCCCACCGTAAGGGTTTGAGCCGATGGCCCTCCCCGGACTCCTGTAACTGCACATCGCTGGGACGGGGACCTTTCAGGCCTGCGCGTTGCGAAGTCTCGGAGCGTTGGAGCGGAGGGAGCCTAGAGACCAGGTATTGCGACACCTCCTGCTGTCCTGCGTTAGCAGCAGCGGAGACGGGTGCTCTGAGCACTGCAGCTGGGTAACAGCAGCCCCGGCAGCAGGCCCCGGGCCCCAGCCCTCGGCCTCGAGGTCTTCAGTGACACGGCGCACTGCCTCGCGGTGCAACGTCAGGGCGGGAAAGCTGCCCAGGCAGGCCTCCTCCGGACCCTGCACGGCCAGAGCTGAGGGAGACGGGGCTTGGACCCAGCCCTGAAATCCCCAGGGAGTTCAGTCCTCAGTGGCACCACCTCGGTGGCTCTTGAGCTGACTACCGTGGGCCCTCCGAAGCCCACGGGGGTGGGGGCACAAGGTTTTCACCTGAAACCCACATTTTCAGCTACTCTGAAAAATTAAAATATCTGGCAATAGGGGGCCTGCATTTCCGCACAGGCGCGGTTGGCTAGAGCCAAGCAGCAGCTGCTCTTCGCGGGTGGCCACAGTCCCCACCGCTCCTTATCGTCTCGCACCAGACCCCCTTCACTCTCCGTGTTACCTGCCCCATCCCTGCCGACTTTGGAGTCCGTGACCCACAGGTCAGGGCGGGGCAGCCTCAGCCTGTTTCTCCCCCAGCTTTGAACAGGTGGACTCAGCTTCCTTTAGCACCTACTGCATCCCTTCCCCCGCCCGAGGCCCAGGAAAGCCCAGCGGCCCAATCAACAGATCCCAGCCCTCGGCCAGTGCCGCGCTCACTGGAGGATGCCAATGTAGTCCTCCACTGTGGCTGGGTGAGCCGACTGCCAGTTCTTCTTGAACCCGACCACCAGGATGTTGGGCTTCATTCTCCCGAGTCCTGCGGCCTGCCGGGGGGCGGGAGGGGGGGCGAGGTGAGGGGACAGGCAGAGGGGCAGTGCCACCATTAGCTTCACACCCCATGAGGGCTCTGTTCTGTGACTGGGGGGGCTTGTCTTAGCCCCAGCCACCCTCCCCCCATGCTGCGGGGCTCAGGAGATACAGCCCCTGGTCAGGGTTCTGTCTGCCTGGACACACCCACGAGGAAGGTGAAGCCACAGTTATCTCCCGTGGCTTCTGCAAGCCTGGGCCAAGGCCCAGACCGTCCTGTTGGTTCTGGGTTCTCCCAGCTCCTGCTAAGAGACTTGAATTTGGATGTCAAGCTTAGAGTATTCCTGAGTCATCTAATACATGGATCTTTTATACTTCTTTTTTTATGTTAAAATTCAAAAAAAAAATTGGAGGGTAAAATTCACATAACGAAATTCATCATTTTGAAGTGTACAGTTCAGTGGCGTTCAGTACATTCACGTTTAGTATGTTCCCGACACCGTCGCCTCTGTCTACTTCCAAATATCTTCATCACCCCAAAAGAGACCCTATATATACTCTTTTCAATTTTGAGAAATATTTAAAACTATCGAAAAGGATTCCCATATGTTGACTCAGAATGAACAATTGTTACTATTTTATCCGTGCATCTCATCTAACACATGGGAAAACTGAGTAGTCAAATGAATCGTCTGGTGGAACATTCTAGATCTCGATCCTAGTGGCAGCCACACACTACTGGGTGGTGTCTGTGTATGTAAACATTTGTCGAACTGTACCTTTAATGTGTTTTACTTTAGCGTATGCGAATTGCATCTTTAAAAAGTAAAAACAGGAACAGGAACCAGCCGAGGTCACACGGCTCTCCGAGAAAGTGCCCTGAACGGGCACATCTGGGTCACAGGAAAGATGGGATTCCTGTCGCAACAGAAGGGGCTTCAACTCGACCCCCTGGACTTTCTGCCTTCCAAGTTGTCACACCAAGTCGTGAGTCCTGTCGGGAGGGCCCCAAACCCACAGCACCTGCATGAGAATCTGGACACCGCTGCGGAGGTCCTCGGCGATGACGTCCGAGTAGAAGGCCTTGATCTTCCTCTTGTTCAGCCACTTGGTGTGCCCGCTGGCGATGAGCCGGAGCTCAGGCATCCTCTGCTTGCGGGGTCC